GTGCTGCCAAGCAGGCAGGGGTGGGGCCAAGGGTCGCCAGAGCTGATGGTTTTTCAAGAGAAGATGAAAATCTGCATTTTATGTGAAATTCTTTATTTTTGTAGACTGTTGGCAAGTATTTCAAATTCGAGGAAAAATAAACACACTGTGAGTAAAACCTAAGCTGGACAGAGCACAATGAGGTCCACGCTTGAAGGTCGGGCTAGCTTTTAGGGCATCTTGAATGTCCCTGTGAGGGATTTTGGCACTTATTCAATACTCAAAATGCAAAATTATATGTAACCTAGCATGACTCAATTTTGGGGGATAGGAGCTTGTTCATTCTTTTATGATATTCAAATATTGCTTATCGAATTTCCCTGTAGTTTCCCAAAGGAGTTGATTTGTGGGCTTCAAATGAACGCTTCATTTCCTTCTCTTCTCGGGCCCAATCTGGGGCCATAATAAGAAGAAGAGTTATAGCTGGTCCTTCAAGAATCAGGGAAATAGGACAGACACACAAGTGGCAAAACCAACCGACTGACCTAAAGGATGAAACAGCTGACAGTGTAGCTTTGAGAGGATCTGCTGGAAGATTTTGGACAAATAAAAAAAAAAGTGGGGATATTTAGGCAAGGTTTCAGGGGCAGTGGGTAGCAGTGGGAGCAAGGAGAGAATGGATGTCTGAAATTAAGCAAGACAAAAAGTAAAATTCTGGTGATCAGAGCTCCTTCATCCTCTTGCCTTTTCTCCCATTTAATTGGGTACATGTGGCTTGAGAATCTCCTGTGGGCTCAGCACCATGCTAGCCACTGATGACAACAGAGAAGCCCTGAACCTGGGCTTAAGACCCAGGCAGACTGGTGTGAATCTGGTCCCTGCCACTTATTAGTTGCATGACCTTGAAGAAGTTTCTTAGCCTCTCGAAGCCTCAGTTTCCATAACTATAAAATGAGAAGAATCATCAAATCAATCCCATGGGTTTATTGTGACGTTAATGACGAATATTTGTGGAAACCACTCAGCACAGTGTCTGCCACTTCACAAATGGCAGCAATTACTATGTTTCCAAGTAAATTCTTTAATAGAAGAATATAGAGGATACAATGTTGACCCAAAGGGAGAAATGATTTTCCATCTCTTCCTTAAATTTATTGCCTACGATTTGAATTCATGTTCCCAAAGGCTTATTAGTTCTACCCTGTCCCCCGTCGCTAGATTACAAGGGGCAAGAAGGCAGGGAGTCTGTCTGCTATGTCTGCCTTAACCTCCTGGTGTCCCTTAGCACCTAAGTATATACATTTGACCCTTAAACAACACTGGTTCGAACAGCATGGGTGCATTTATATGCCTTTTTTTTTTTCCTTCAATAAATACAGTCAGCTCTTCACCTCTGTGGGTTTCAAATCTGTGGATTCCCAACCAGTATTTTCTACCCGCTGTTGTGAATCTGCAGTTGGGAAAGTGAAAATACCACTTCTCATCAGCATTTGGTTGAATTGGCAGAAGCAAAGGGCCTACTGTAGAGTCAGAAGTTATTTGCAGATTTTGGGCTGGACCGGGGTCTGTGCCCCTAATGCCGAAACTGTTTAAGATTCAACTGTGTTAGGTAATTAAGAATTCTAACATTTTTTGAGCATTTATATGTGGGGGTTCTAACACATTCTAGTGTATTATTTCATCTAATTCTTTGCGATAATCTTACGGATTGTTACTATCCTTGTCCTTGATTTTAAAAATGGGGTGACGGAAGTAAAGAGAGGTTGTGTCACCTGCGTAAGTGGTGGAACCAGGGTTGAAATGTGCTCTGGGCTGGTGCCGTGGCCTGTGTCCCCATCCGCTGGAAATGGACTGTCTGTGGAATAAATGAATTAATGAGTGGGTAATCAGAAAAGGTTTATAGGGGAGGAGACAATTTAATTGGGTAGAAGGATGAGTAGGAGTTTGCAGGTAAACGGGACGAAAGTACAAATGTGTGCGTGCGTGAAATGAGAGTGTAGCTTCACGAAGATCGAGTGTAGCTAATTAATTAATTAATTGTATGTGCAATGTGCTTGCTTGAGAGACAAAGAGGGAGTTAGATAGAGATGGAGAGAGAGACAGAATGAGACAGAGAGAGAGAGAGAGAGAGAGAGAGA